ACCTTACTTGTTCATTTTCCACCCTAGAATGAAGTTGCTTGAAGGCAGGGACTTTTGATTGTTCGCTGCTCTTTTCGCCAGCAATCATCCATAGAGCAGGCGCCCAAGTAACCTCAACTGAATGAACACGAGACTTCCACCTACCCTCACCTTTCTACCTCCATCCCATCCAGGAGACTGCATTTGCATGTCCCTTTGTGCTAAAACCTTGGAATAGAGTGGCCCAGTCACCAGCAGGGTGGCCTTTGAATTGTATACATACCTGTTTCAACCAGACATTTGTAGTCATTAGCTGATTCTTCTCATCCTATAAAATTAAAAGTTAAGATTGATTATTCCCATGGCAGGAACTAAATTCTTGAAAGAAGAAATTTCCTCATTTTTATGCAAATACTCCTCTCTGTATACAGTAACTATATTCTGTAGATCAATCCAGTTCTCTAGAAGGGCGTATCTAATTTTAAGTACTATGTCTTCTCAAATCTAAGATGCAGTCTAAGAAATAAGCAGCATTATTTTATATACTTAGTACTAAGATTGGAAAAAAGGATGAAAATGAGTTATAAGCTGCTGTTAATTACAAGATACATCTTGATTTCAGAGCTGCAAAATGTGACAACGTGAGCATCTTAGATTCGGGGAGATTAGTGTTCCCATGTATCCCTGAGAGACGATAACTTGAAGTCATTTTCCTTCACTGAGGCAAGAATTTGCATCTCTCTGTGGAATTGCTATGTAAAGAAAAAAATCTGTGGTCATACCTTTGAATAGTAATTTCATAGAGCTTCAATATCCTATTTTCCTAGAAAAGGAGGGGTTTTTGGTAATTGCTATGACCTTTCTGTTGTAATAGCTTTGCTTATGCCAGCCTTTCAACTGAATAATTATGGCCTAATTAAAGTGACTTCTCATCCATTAAATTTTATGGTCATGCTGGAAGGGCTGTGAGATTTTCTTTGTACTGCATTCCCTTCACTCTGCAATTATGGAAACTGGCCCAGTTGGCAACTTGTCTAAAATCAGACTACCAACTAGAACTCAAAATGGTGAAATATCACCTTATCCCACCAGCTCTACTATCCGCCCCAAAGTGACATACCACTCAGAGTTAACTACAGATCCTATATCAGATACATGCTTACTAGGAAAAAGTTCTAAACTGCTAGGAAGTTTCTGCCAAACATTACCTGTGATGTTGTATGGCAGCTCATCTTTGCAAATCTAATAAAAATTAAAGAACTTTCACCCAAAAAATGTGAACACACATACATATTGCTCAGTGTGTGAAACCCCAGTACTTTCATTTTCAATAGTAACACACATGAAAGAGTAATGTATAAGTTTGCAGCTAGCCTCAAAGATGTGGGGGACATCTTAGACCTTAAGATTACCTTAGCAGGATCACCTACTTGAAAATGACCTCAGTATCTCCTGAGTATCTGTGGTGTGCACAGTGCAGGAAAACAAAAGCAAAATTGAGCAAGAACAGAGACACTCAAGTGCAAGCACAAGTAATGGAGCAATGTTAACAACACATAATAGCACAGAAAAGTTTTAGGGCAATATTTTTTAAATTGGGTGTTAAAAAGAAAATCAAAACAAAAAGACAATCCTTTAAACTTTTTTTAGGACTTTTTTAAAAAAATAATATAATAGTTTATTTTTACATCATTCTGTGCATTTTTCCATATCAGTTGTAATCCCCGTGGGCTTCCCCTCAGCAAATCACCTATGTGCCATCACCATAGTCCAATGCACATCCCTCCCCACCAGTGTTTTTGATCCCATTCCCCACTCCACCCCCATAAAATGTCTCTAGTATATAGCTGTTTATTATTATTATTATTTTCTGGCCTGGTCTGTTATATTTCTGCTAAAAGTGACACCATCTGGTATTTTTCCTTTTCTTTCTGGCTTATTTCACTAAGCATGATCTTTTCCAGCTCCATCCATGTTGCTGCAAAAGGCATGTGTTTCTTTTTTTTGGTTGCTGAGTAATATTCCATTGTGTATATGTACCACATCTTTTTAATCCTGTCATCCATTTTGGGGCATTTGGGCTGTTTCCATGTCTTTCCAATTATAAATAAAATAGTAATAAGCATGGGAGTACAGATATCTTTTTGAATCAGTGTTTTTGTGTCTTTTGGGTAGATACCTAGGAGTGGGATTTCTGGGTCATGGGGAAGCTCCATGTTTAGCAGTTTGAGGAACCTCCAAACAGTTTTCCATAGTGATTGTACTAGTTTGCATTCCCACCAGCAGTACAGGAAAGTTCCTTTTTCTCTACATCCTCACCAATATTTGTTGGTGCTAGTTGTTTGAAGATGCCAGGCTCACTGGGGTGAGGTGGTATCTCATTGTGGTTTTGATTTGCATCTCCCTCATTACAAGTGGCAATCCTTTAATTTTAAGGAGCAAGAGAAAACATTAGGAAATAAGGTAGAAATCTGAGGAAACTTCAAGGAAGAGCTATCAAATATGTCTTGTAGTGGGAAGGAACCCAGCAATAAAAGGAACATAGGAACTCAGAAGTGAGTCTGCATTTCCTGGAGCAGCAACTCTTCCCCAGCTCTCTGCTTAGCTAACCTTTGTTTCTACCACTTTCTATGATTGTTCCTCAAGGATCAGGCTCCCATTCTCCTGCTTGCTTTAAAAACTCATCAATCCAAAGTTTTCAACAATCATCCCGAGACCAGCAACTCCAAATTGACATGTTTAGCTTCATCCCTCATCTCAGAGCCTGTCTGGATTTCCCAGTGGCCCAGGAACACTTTCTTTTACATGTACCACAATCATCTTACATTACAACAAAATGCATCCTTCTCTGTTTTCCTTCCATAACAACTAATTTTATCTTTCAAATGTGTTATTCTTTCTCATCACTGAGGGACCAAAATTTGATGCTGCATTTACATCCATGTTCAAGTTCTGCTCCTTCTTCTCCATGGTCTTCTAATTTGCCTCTTAGATCTCCATTCTCCATCACTCTGTGCCAGATATCATTCATAGTATCTGGCACAAGGCACATACAAGCTAACCTACCTGTGAGGAAGCCACAATGGACCACCAGCACCAGTGTGATGGGCACCAAGTTAAAACATAAAAACTGTTGGAGGAGACAAGTGACTAGGAAATTCAGAAAGATTTCATAAAAGGTCTGTATGACAAATGAAGTGGGTCTCAATGAATAAATGGCTTGAGCTGAGAAAGAAAGTTCTCCGAGTAGGAGGAACAGGAAGAAGCAAGGCGCACTGGCCTCCTTTCTCACCTCTTCCTTCTCCACCACGGGGTTGTATGACTTCTGTGCAGTGAGGCTTCTACTATTAGCCTTTGACCTACACAACTGAATGAAAAAGCTCAGTAGCTTCTGTACATAGCACACATGTACCTATGTTTTCACTCTTCATTATTTTCCTCTCTGAATGTCAGTTGCTACACTTGCAAAATCAGCTTAAGTATCACTTCTCCTGCCTTCTTTGATAATCTCAGTTGCTGACATCTGAATTCCCAGATCTTTGTAATATCACAAATTAGTAACACATCGTTCCATGGTCATTCCAACTAATATTCCAACTACAAAGAAAGGTCTTCAAAGCAAGCTCCGCTTATTTCCAACTTTCCTATTTTTTATTTATATTTCAAATCTCTTCTTTTTGCCTAGCAAAGAGGGAGTTCATGACCCATATTCACTGATCTTTGTGGAAGCATTTAGATGACGTATCAGCAGACTTTTAAAAAATGTATATCTGGGCCCTCCCTGGTGTACAGTGGGTAAAAGCACAGTGCTAAGAAGCTAAAGCCACTGCAGCATGAGTTCAATTCCCGCCTGCTCCAGAGGTGATCCACATGGTATGACAGACCTCTTCTGGCCCGCCTGCTGCTCCCCTCAGCAGTGTACTTCATCGATCTGCCTGTTATTCTCCCCTCTCTGTCTCTGGTGAATCCTCTTGCTGCCCTGCACCTCTGGCCTGTACCCCAGTTCTGTATGTATAAATAAATAAATCTTTTTTAAAAATGTGTATCTTTTGATACACATTCTTCAGGAATGGAGAAATTCAGACACCTGTAGACAAATATATTCATCACTGCCATTTATAATGAAAAAATATTGGGAACAAGCATCTGCAAACAATAGGAGAATGTTTATGTAAAGTATAAGTGGAATATTACATAGCCGTTAAAATCACATTTGAAGATTATGTAATGACAAAGGAAAATGTTCATCATGTAACAGTAGGAAAATAAGCAGTAAAAAAATTATGTCTAAAATTTTGTGATACACATCAAAGAAAAAACTGCAAGATATATAACAAATTGTTACTACTGGTCATCTTGGGGTGGTGTAATGTAATAAAATTTTCTTTCTTAGTTGAATTTTTTTGTACTTTCTAAAGTCTCTACAAAATATGCATTACTTCTCTAATCAAGTAATAAAGGCATTTCTCTAGATGTTACTTAAATATATGTATATATAAAAGCACTCCCACTCTTGGTCTTCTTAACTCTTCTGGGAACACAGCAGGGAATTAATCTTTGATTGACATAATTAGAACAAGAAGAAACTGGGTTTGGAAATGAGTGTGAACTTTATAGTTTAAATATAAATATTTTGCTAGCCAACAAGCATATGAAAAAATGTTCAACATCACTCTAAGGGAGATGCAAATTAAAACCACAATGAGATACCATCTCCCCCCAGTGAGAATGGCACATCTTCAAACAATTAGCAACAACAAATGTTGGCGAGGATGTAGAGAAAAAGGAACTCTCCTGCACTGCTGGTAGGAATGCGAACTAGTACAACCACTATGGAAAACTGGAGGTTCCTCAAACTGCTAAACATGGAGCTTCCCTACGACCCAGCAATCCCACTCCTAGGTATCTACCCAAAAGACACAAAAACACTGATTCAAAAAGATACCTGTACCCCCATGTTTATTGCTGCTTTATTTACAATTGGAAAAACATGGAAGCAGCCCAAATTCCCAAAAGTAGATGACTGGATTAAAAAGATGTGGTACATATATACAATGGAATATTACTCAGCAACCAAAAAAGAGAAACACATGTCTTTTGCAGCAACTTGGATGGAGCTGGAAAAGATCATGCTTAGCGAGATAAGCCAGAAAGAGAAAGAAAAATACCGGATGGTTTCACTCATAGCAGAAGTATAATGGACCAGGCGAGAAAATAACAAAAATAATGAACAGCCATATACCAGAGACATTTTGTGGGGGTGGAGTGGGGAATGAGACCAAAAACGGGGGTGGGGTGGGGAGGGAAATGCATGGGATTATGTGCCATCAGGCACACGGGTGACTTGGTGATGGGAAACCCACGGGGATTACAATTGGGATGGAAAAAAAATGTACAAAATGATGTAAAAATAAACTGTTATAAAATAAAATATATATATATATGTATATGTATATATATATATATATGTATATATATCTTGCATGAGTTATCATGGGGATTTATACTCCTTGGTGAATGTCACATGAACAAACAGCTGAAATATTTATGTATCATAATGGGCAACAAACTGGTGAGAAAACTTTTCACCCCAAGAATCTATGACTCTACTCTTGAACTTTTTAATCTTCGCTTTTTTTTTAAACATTTATTTATTTATTCATACAGACTGGGGTAAAGGCCAGAGATGCGGAGGGTGAGAGGATTCACCAGGGACAGAGTGCGGAGCAGAACAGGCAGATAGAAAAAGTACACTGCTGAGGGGAGCAGCAGGCGGGTCAGGAGAGGTCTACCACGCCATGTGGATCTCCTATTGGGCAGGCAGGGATCAAGCTCAGGCAGAAGTGGTTTAAGCTTCTTAGTACAGTGCTTTAACCCACTGCACCACCAGGAAGGGCCAAATCTTCACTTTTTAAAACTTTTGGATGTATGTTTTACACATATAAGAAATTGTCGTATAAAGTGTTTAATATCTTCAAATTTGTTAAAAATAAATAGACCTGTTATAATTACCAGATATAAGTATTTCTGACCCTCCCTGGTGGCACAGCGGGTTAAAGCACCACACTAAGGAGCTAAAGCCACTTCAGCATGAGTTCGATCCCTGCCTGCCCCAGAGGTGACCCACATGGCACACCAGACCTCTCCTGACCTGCCTGCTGCTTCCCTCAACAGTGTACTTCATCGATCTCCCTATTCTGCTCCCTACACCGTCTCTGGTGAATCCTTTCACTACCCCTGCACTTCTGGCCTGTCCCCCAGTTCTGTATGCATAAATAATCTTAAAAAAAAAAAAAACATGGAATATCCCTGCATGTGGCATAATAATTACTTTTCCCTGGTGAGTTCTTTGAGTAAAGAGTTATGTCTTATTCATCTTTGTAATCTTTGGCACACTTAAGATGCTCTCAAATAAATCTATGGGGACCTCCCTGGTAGTTAGGCATTAAGGCTCGGCATTATCACATTATCACTGCTGTGGCCTCAGTTCAATCCCTGGCCAGAGAGCTGACCCACTATGGCGCGCAGATCTCTGCTGTTTCACCCATTGCTGCCTTGAGCAGTGTATTTCAGTAGATCTTCCTGTTCTGTTCCCCACTCTGTCTCTGTCTTTGAGGTGAATGAATCCTCTCAACCCCTGCACCTCTGGCCTATACCCCAGTTCTTCTATGCATAAATAAATAAATAAAACTTAAAAAACAAATAAATAAATAGAATTCAATTGAAATTGTATATGTAACGATGTGCATACTTACCACATCCACTAATTGAGATATTGCAAGGCCAAACTTTATTTTTATCTTGTCATTCAGATGTTCTACAGGACGAACACATCTTTCATAGTTTTGAAATAAATCCTTAAACAAACTATCTTCATATTTTGCAACAAAGGATGGTTCAGCTAATCCTGTATAACAAATTTTTAAAAGTTAGTGTACTGGTTTTTCTTCCAGAAAAAGTTATACTTTAAAAAAAGTTCAGCACTGTTAATGAACCAAACAATTGTTTAGGCTCTTGTCTCTTTATTAACTCTTTAAAATAAAGTATTAATATAACTGCTCATCATCAACAAAGGACATACCAGTTCAGATATTTTTCTTAATTTAATCAGATTACTCAGAAATGGAAATATGCTGAGTTCTTTAAGAAGTATGCAATATTTAATACAAAGTAGTTTAAAATCTAAGTAACCAAAACTTTTAAATTGCCAGGAATACGCACATTGTTTGCCATAAATTCCCAAGCCTAAAGAACAGATATAATGAAATAAAGTTCAACTATAAATGTAAAGATGCTTCAATTTACATAATTTCCATACACAATATTAAAAGTATTCAGAGTTGTCACACTTTTTCTTTTACTATACATTTGTCTAAAAATCACTTGAGGATCTAACAGACATAATTTCTGACAGTTTTAGATACCATAGCTAAAGAAAGAGAGTTAGGTTTATAGATCACAATTATGTTTATTCTTCTGCCTAACTGCAATAAGCCTCACTTAAGACAGGAACTTTCAATGTTATATATACTGGAGTCTCTGTTAAAGAAATGTGAAAGATGTGAATTCAAGCATGACATTTGCTCAAGATTCAGTTTTGCAAAGAAAATAACATCTACTTGAAGCAAAATGTCACTGGCTTATTTATCATAAATACAGACATAGGGATTTATAGTGGCTGGTGATGGCCCTTCTCCAACCTTAAAAAAAAAAAAGGTCAGGGGCTCTCCCTGGTGGCACAACAGGTTAAAGCTCTGCACTATGAAGCACTCAGAAGCCACTGAAGCCACTGAAGTTCAATCCCCAGCCAGGGAGCTGACCCACATGGCATGGCAGACCTCTCCTGACCCGCCCACTGCTCCCCTCAGCAGTGTATTCCAGTAGATCTGTCTGTTCTGCTCCCCACTCTTGTTTCTGGTGAATCCTCTCACCCACCACATTTCTGGCCTGTACCCCGGTTCTGCAAGCTTAAATAAATAAATCTTTAAAAAAAAAAAGGTCAGACAATAGTATTTTAACCAAAGTCTTCATTAATAGAGCAATTTATTCCTCAAGAATTTCCTTCTTACTTTACTTTCCTAGACAATTTAAGGTAATTCATTCAATCTATAAATACTTCAGAGTTCTTCACAGTCTCTGAAATACAAAAAAAAAAAAATAAGGTTTTTTAAGGTTAAAAAATAACAAGTATTTTGGGTCCTTCCTGGTGGCACAGCAGGTTAAAGCACAGCACCAAGAAGCTAAAACGACTTCTGCATGAGGTCGATCCCCAGCCCGGAGGTGACCCACATGACACGGCAGATCTCTCTTGACCTGCTCACTGCTCCCCTCAGCAGTATACTTGGTTGATCTGCCTGTTCTATTCCCCACTCTGTCTCTGGTGAATCTTCTCACTGCCCCTAAAACTCTGGCCTATACTCCAGTTCTGTATGCACAAATACATAAATCTTTTGATTTATCTACTGGGCCCTCCTTGGTGGTGCTGCGGGTTAAAGCACAGTACTGAGAAGCTAAAGCTACTTCAGCATGAGTTCGATCCTCGCCTGCCCCGGCTGCTCCACATAGCTGGGAGGCCTCTCCTGACTCGCCCGCTGCTCCCCTCAGCAGTGTACTTCATTGATCTTCCTGTTCTGCTCCCCACTCTGTCTCTGTTGAATCATCTCGCTGCCCCTGCACCTCTGGCATGTACGTACCCCAGTTCTGTATAAACAAATAAATCTTTTTTTAAGGATTATTTATTCATATAGAACCAGGGTGCAAGCCAGAAGTACAGAGAGTGGTGAGAAGCTTCACCAGAGACAGAATGGGGAGCAGAACAGGCAGATCGACAAAGTACACTGCTGAGGGGAGCAGTGGGCGGGTCAGCGGGGATCTGCCACACCATGTGGGTCACCTCTGGGGCTGGGATCCAACTTGCACTGAAGCGGCTGCGGCTTGCTTGCAGTGCTGCATCCTAACCCACTGCACCACCAGGGAGGCCCCCAAATAAATAAATCTTTTTTAAAAATTCAAAACTATTAAGATGGCTGTAAACAAACACACAGGTCATGACAAACGTTGGTAAGGATGGGGAGAAACTGGGACCCTTATACACTGCTGGTGGTAATGTGAAAAAATACAGTCACTTTGGAAAACAACTATTTCCTCAAAAAATTATAATAGACCTATCAATTCCATCTCCAAAAAGATGAAAACATGTCCACACAAAAATTTATACATGGATGTTCATAGTAGCTTTCCACATAACAACACTAAATTGGACTCAACTGAATCCCCAAAAAAAAGGGTAAATGGATAGATAAAAAGTGGTATATCCAATGGAATGTTATTTGGCCACAAAAGTGAATGAATTACTGATATGTACTAAAACATAAATGAACCCTGAAAACATTATGCTAAGTAAAAGAAGACAGTGCAATAACCATGTACTATATGGTTCCATTAGCATGAAATATCTAGAAAGGCAAATTTAGAACATAGGAAGTAGATTAGAGCTCTCTGAGGGACCAGGTGGCCCCTGAAATGTTCTAAATTCCACTGTGGCTAATAGCAGTACTTCTTCAAATATGCTAAAAATATACATTGAATGAGGCACTTTAGAAGTGTGAATTGTTAATAAAGGGGGCTGAGAAACATGAAACGGCTACATGCAAAAAAAAAAAAAAAAAAAAAGCACCATCCCCAGCATGGGCAGGTAAAAGCCAGAGCACCAAGAAACTTGTAACCTCAGCACAAGCGCCACAGGACCCGCTCAGACAGCAGAGGTCTCTGACATGCTGCGGAGCCCCATCAGCCTGAGCCCAGTCAGGCCTTGTCACTTCCCACGAGATCCCTGCTGGCCCCCACAGACGGGCAAAGCTCAGTAAACCAAGGAAGCCCAAGGCCACAGGACCACCCATGACAGCCGGCCAACGGCTGGCCCGGATAGATCAAAACCACTCCTGTGCTCTCAAATACTGATGCCAGAAATGTAAAACATTACCATTTTTTGAAAAGTGATACTGTAATAGTTTTAATTTTGCAAAATTTAAGTATACATTTGATTAATCTGCAGTCCTACACCAGCCTTCCTAGTACATAAGGACATATACACAATAATATTGTGTTTTTTTGTGTCATATCCAAGAAATCATTGCTACATTTAGTGTCATGAAGCTCTCCACTTTTTTTTCTTCTGGAAGCATTATAATTTTAAGTCTTTAACCCATTTTGAGTTGATTTTTGTATATGGTGTAAGATAAGACTCCAACTTCATTCTTCTACATGGGGTTATGGAGTTTCCCAACAATATTTTTTTTTTTCTTGTAGTCCTATTTTTGTAAAACAATCCATGGTTAAGATCTGTCTCCTCTAGCTTTCTATATGATTATATATGCCTCAAGAAAATGATGGAAGTTTCCATTCTAGATTAACAAGAATAACGTGAGGTTTAGGCTGGGAAGATATTTATAGGATTGGGGCAGGAAGAAAAGAGAAGAGACAAAGGAAGAGAGCCAAAAAGGACAGGAGAAACATCGTAGTTAATCATTCCTAAGCAGACATGCTCCTCAGATAAGCCACCAGGTTCTCAATTTCCCACACATTAGTATGCACTCAGCACACAAGCAGAATGCTGATTTTAGGTAAAATTTGAAAGTAATTATTAGAATAAAAGTGAAATAACATTTTACATAAGAATTGGATGGATGGTGCTATCTTTTTCACCCAGCTCTGTGATGGGAACTTGAGATACAGGTCAGGCCACTGGTAAACTGATTTCTTCACTGTCATTCCTACAAGTTAAAAAAAAAATCCTAACTCATAGAGTATCAGGAAGAGCATCAAGTATTGGTAGTCCATAAGTTCAAGTCAAACAAGGTCCTCAAAGCACTGCAGGGATGTGTCAGGCTTCCTCTCAGTTTCTCCAAATGTCCTTCAGACCCAGCCTGACCACTCTGAGCCCAGCTGACCCTCTTGTCCATCTCTCCAGTCACTAACACACCCCTGTCTAAGGAGAAGCTTTGATCTTATACTGGACAGACTAGGTCAAGTCTCTTCTGTTTGCCGTTATGACCCAGGTATTTGAATCTCAAAAGGCAAAACATACTCTGCTATTTGCTGTCTTGAACACAGAATGATCAGGGTTGAGCAGATAGGAGAGGAGACAAAGGGTAAAAGGAAATACCAGGAACAACCTGATGGGGTCGTTATTATTCTGAAAATATTGTCACACTGATAGCCTCAAAGATGTCATTTTCACCTTTCAAGCCATCAGTTCTGGCTCCTAAAGACACACCTGTGTCAGTGAGCAATTCTTACTTGATCACACCTGAAACCAGATGGATGACCTCACCCAAGTCATGGAGAAGCATTGCTCTCAAATCCCTCAAGTTCAAGCACTCATGAGTGCACCTAGCCCTTGCCAGGTGTGCCATGGGGACAGATGATGTACACAGTGCCTATTCCTGGGAGACACGCTTGGAGCCTTGACCTGATCAGTCCCAACTTTTTACTATCTCCTCTGACAATGAAGCAAGGTTGTCCATGGTCCCACAGGTGCTCTCCCACTGGCATGTCACGTGACAGCCAGCACTGCCACTTAGTGAAGAAGTATGTTCATTATCTCTTTGGCTTTCGCTTCAAGCAGGATAATTTGTATCTAGATTTACAAGCTTCTGACCCATTGTAGATCATTATTCTGTCACATATAATACATTCTACTCTGAGTGATGTCTTGGGCAACTTGATCTTTGAACCTGCAGTAAATTTAATTTTTTTTAAAGATTTATTTATTTATTCATACAGAATTGGGGTACAGGCCAGAGATACGGAGGGTGAGAGGATTCACCAGAGACAGAGCGGGGAGCAGAACAGGCAGATCAACCAAATACACTGCTGAGGGGAGCATCAGGCGGGCCAGGAGAGGTC